AGCCATGGGCAGCACGTGTGTTGAGGATAAAATCTTTGGAGCCCACAGCTGAGGGTCCCTCCTGGGCATCACAGCAAACCTGGCATTTGTGGTTTCCTTCTGTGGATGTTGGGGCTCAGGAATTTAGTCATTTGAGAAGTTGCCAATACTTTGGTTACTTTAATTACTGCAGTAAAACCGTTTTTCTTTGTCCAGAGATCTCATGTCCTCTGCCAGGATCCATGATGCTGGGGCTGGCGAAGGCTGAGCAGGAGATGCTCAGAGCTTTCCATTGTTAACCAATGTAAGATTTTAATTCTAGGAAATTGCTTTTCTAAGTGTCTCTATTGTAAGACATTAAGATTTTCTTTCTAACAGGTGAGCAAATTATCTGATGCTGTGTCCCACTGTTTCAAGTTAGGAGAACTAATAGTTTGAGCACTATTTGTATTTTCAATATTTCTATTTCCTCATATTTAGAAGAATAGTTTGAATGAATCTATAACTTGTAAACAGATTATTTGTACACTTAACATTGATTTAAATTATTGTGGAGTGGGCCTCCCTGGTGGTGCAAGGGGTTAAGCACCGCACTATGAAGCAATCCACAGCCTCTGCAGCACGAGTTTGATCCCTGGCCATCCAGGGAGCAACCCGCATGGCGCAGCAGACCTCTCCTGCCTCGCCCGCTGCTCCCCTCAGCAGTGTTTTAGTCAGTCTGCCTGTTCTATGACCCACTCTGTCTCTGGTGGATCCTCTCAACCCCCCGCATCTCTGGCCTGTACCCCAGCTCTTGTATGCATAAACAAATAAATCTTTAAAAAAAACAAAATTATTTCAAGAATTATATTTTTGTTGATCCCTTTACAATATATCATGCCTTAAATATTTAAAATGGATACAATGTTTTTCTAACTCATTATCTATTTAATCACATAAAAGATTAATCCAGCAAGCTGAAATAAAAATTTGTGTGTCTTAATAATTGCTCTGATATACGACCGGTATTGTTCACCAGGCATGGAAATAGTTCTCATTCCCTCCACCCCAGGGAAAAGGTTGCTTCAAACTTTGTGTCCCATCAGCTCTCTCCAGCTGCCTAATTGATAATCACCAAACTTAGATTCCTTGTGTCAAAATGTGTTGCTTTATCGTTATAGGATTTTCTGCTGCAATGATCCTGCTTGTCTACGCTTGTGTCAAATTCTGTAATACTTATTCCCATGACAGGGTTCAGAGGGGTTTTCTATTAAGTTGAATTCAGAAGTCAAGTTTCCCCTAAGGATTACTGGATGCCAAGCTGACAAAATACCAGGGAGATTTCCTTTTCTTCCTCCATTGTCTTCTTTTCACTGATTTCATTCTCCTTTTCTTTAACTCAGCAGAAAAAAATTAATTTGAAATTGATATGCAATATATAGCTGCAGAAGCTTATTTTAAACCAACATTTGTAAGATCAAGAAGAGAATTCTGAACAGAGCTAATAATGGATGACTATCAGATTGCTTTTAGTTTCTTCCCCCCACTTTATTATTCTGTTGCGGAACGTCATGTCAGAAATCCTTCCTTTCAAATAAACATTTAGTTGCCAACTGAAAATTAAGTATTGCTCTTATTGGTATCTGTCTCTAGAAAGTTCTGAGGCTATTATTTTCAGTGAGGGACCTGCATTTATTCAGCTCATACATGAGCTTCTCATTGCCCTGAAGACTCATCGATCTTTCAATCATGGTCAGGATCGAGTTTCCCATTTCAATTTCTCGTTCCATTTCTCACCCTGCATTCCTGTTTGCCCTTCTTATCTCCTCTCCAAAATCGCAAGGGGAGGTGTGCCCCTCCCACGCACTTGATGGTCCCATTTACTCTCACACTTTTGCTTGGGGGGCCTAGTGTAGGGCAGGTGGAGTGTGTTATGCCCTAAGTCTCCCTGGTGGGACCAATGGGGTCATTAAGTGTGAGCGGGAGTGGGTTCAGCCAAAGGTGTTGTGCTTTGTGGGGGTAGTTTTTTAGTAAAATCTCCCCAGGGACTATCTTCAAACAGATTGTGAGGAAAGATGGGCCATGGGCGGGGGTGCCCCACATCCCGTCTATGTCTGCGCAAGTGATAAATAATAATAATGAAGAAAGTGAGGTGCAGAGAAGGAAGCGAGGCCTCCAAGCCGTGAAGAAGCTGGAGGAGCCCCACGGTCCACTAGGGAAGCCGGGCGCTCTCAGGGAGAAACCACAGTGAGCATTTCAGCTGTTCCTCACCTGACAGGGCCGGGGATTCGGGGATCTGCACGGGAGAGCAGAGTAGGTGATAGAATGATGGATTTTCATGGAAAATGGGTCACAGGTGTTTGGAGGAGTAAGAAAAGCCGGCAGATTTCTTTGAGTGAAGATGAGTGCCTTTTTTAGTGATGCTATCAAGAAAAGATCTTTATGCAGCAACTCAGAATATAGACATCTTTATCAAATGATCCTGTAAGAGAAACAGAAAGGAAAGGAAAAGGAACCCTGTGTCACATGCATGCATATTTTCTCTCTCTCAAGATTTCTTTAAGTATACAAGAACTGGAGTGTAAGACAGAGGTGGGAGGGAGGGGGGTTGGGAGGGCTGAGAGGATTCACCAGGGACAGAGTGGGGAGCAGAACAGGCGGATCCACTGAAATCCACTGCTGAGGGGAGCAGTGGGCGAGTCAGGAGAGGTCTGCTGCGCCATGTGGGTCAGTTCCCTGGCCGGGGATCGAACTCGTGCTGCAGCGACTGGCCATAGCTTGATAGCGCTGTCTTTAACCCCTGCGCCACCAGGGAGGCCCCCATTTTCTCTTTTATTCACTTTCAATAAATAGGGTGACCAAGGGAATTGATTGCCCATCTGACAGAGACCCACAAATTCCAATTTGAGGACACCTGGTTAGTGGACAGTGGCGGGGTGGGGTGAAGATGTGGGCGGGGGTGGCCCTATCTCTAATGAATGAGCAGGTGATAGTTACAAAGAAAGTCTGCAGGATGGAAACCACCAGGGATGTGCTTTCCAAATCATAGATGTCTAGATCTCTAGAGAAAATATGAGGCATTAACATTTGCGGTAAGGCTAGAATCATCTCTGTGCTGTGTATTGGGGAGGGGACCCCTGGAGAAATGGAAAGAAACCCCAGTAATCATGCTGGGACCAAGGAGAGGTTCACGCCATGGCGGGTGGGGTGGAGACCCATGTGGAAACACACACATATATCAATAACAAGGCAACCTGTTCCCAGCTTTTCCATACTGGTTTCATGCGTGTTAATTCCTTTGAACTTCTCCAAAGCTGGAGCTTATCTTAAAACAAGACTCAGAGTGTGTATTAAAATTTCCAGGCTCTATTGTGATAATCATTTTCTTGTCCTCAAACTCCATTTTAGACATACTCTTCAATTTTCACTTGGTCTTTTTACTTACAATCCCCCACAAAAGGAGATGTGGTGTCTTTCTCTAGGGTGTTTCTCCATCTTAAGTGTTCTGGGCTGTGCCAGTAAGACAGTTTAACAGGTGGGCCTGTTCTCAGTCTTACCTGTGTGTGGGGCTTCCTCGCTGTCACTAGGAGTCTTGGTTTCCTCTTGGGTCCCCAGTCTGGCCACTCCATCCAGTGGACAGCAGGTGCGTGACGGGGAAAGCGTTCTGAAGAGAAGCTAGTCGCGGTGAGCGCTGCACCTGCTCACAGGCAGAATCCAGCGGCGGGGCCGAGAGAGCCACCTCCCCATGTCTTCCGGAGCCACATCGTGTCCCTGCTCTGCCCAGAGACCGGCGCATCCTGCTCACAAGTCAGAACTGCGCTGTCCTGGCTCGCAGGACTTCTCAGGACTGGCTCTGGCCCTGCATGATCGGCAGCTTCATTCCTTTTGCATGGCTATGAAATCCAGTCACCTCTTGTGTCGGGCCCCAGAGGAGGCCACTGCAAACTCTGCCAGAGTTGCGAATCAATCATTTCCAGTTAAAGAAAGAGTCAGCGGATGAATGACACCCTCAACCCACGACTCCCACTTCAGCCCAATGCCTCTGTCCCTCAGCCTTCTCGTTTGCACGCGGGATTCAGGTGAGCAGACATGATGAGCCGGAAGGGACTGCCCTTTGAGGATTGCCACGAAGTCAACCCCCCACAAGTGTTAGCTGCTTTCATAAAGTTTATCATGACAGAGATTCTTAACGATCATGGAGTCCAGGCTGAGGCTGCAGACTTGGCACTACAGCTGCTAGCTGTGCGGTCACATCAATGTATTCCAACTTCCTGATCTTGATTTCATTATCAGTGAGTGAAGGAGGCCTCGTGGAATCGGTCCTGTCTACCTTACTGCCCCTGATGAAAATCCCGGTCAACGTTTCATGATACTTTTAATCTTACCACATCAAGGTAGGGAGCAGAGAAACACAAGCCACTTTCTGAAGCCCCATGAGCAAAGATAAACGCAACTTTTGAAGGACATGATCGGAAGCTCATCCCAGGAAGCCATGCAGTTAACTTCGTTTATTAACAGATTCCGTTCAGCTGCATCTTCCTGATGGGTGAGCTCCGCTCTCCACAATTTCCTGCTGCCTCCTTCTGTGAGATAATTCACTGACGGAGTGGAATTACCTCTCTGCCTCATGGAATTTTGGATAGAAATTCTATTCGGCGTTAGTCATGCTTTCATACCTTTTTGCAATCCATATTTCAGAGCAAGGTAATTGACAGATCCGTTGGTATATTCAACAATGTCCTATTTCCATGTAAAGAACCTGAAGTACTACGTCACGTAAGAGCTTGGCTGTAATTTTTCACATTATTTTTAAGATTGGAGAAATATTCTATTTAGACACAAAAATCACTACCTGTTAACTGTCTCTATATAGGTTGTATTTATATGTTTTAAAAATATTTTTGATACCATCAGTATATCTATGAAATTTGCATTTTTAACCCAATACTGTTCAACAAATAAAATTATCTATGACAATATTCTTGAGGTATTACAAACTCCCAGGAAATTTCAATTAATGTAAATTTTTTTATTGAATGTAAACAAACTGCCCACTGAGTTGCTTGCTTGCATTGTTGTAGCAAGGATCACCCCAATAAATTCACATTGTGATCAATAAATTAACATCGCGTGTATGTGACTGCACTTGAATTGTAAGTGAAGCTCTCTGTTCTGGTGGAAGTGAGTGCTTTTGGGAACCCAGACTCAGTTTGTCACAGTTTCTCTGGGTCTGTGGATAAAGGTGGGTGCTAGAGATGGAACTGGCAGCACCCTCAGAAAAACACCCCAAGACATGCATCACATGACTGGACATGTCTCGTCACACAGAGAAGCGACAGACACCAGATGCCATCCTGCTTTAATGCGTTGGGGGGAATCAGTGGTGACGAGATGAGAAGGCAAATCCTGTCCTTCGGGCCACGGCGGTCGCCTTCTCTCAGGCGAACCCGGAGCTTGTGGCTCTCATTACCACAGCCTCAGAGGAACGCTGAGGCCGCACAGGCCCGGGACTGGGTCTGCTTTGGAGAGGAGAGGACAGTTTCACAAAGGAGGTGCCTTTGGATTTGGAAACTGAAGAATGAGAGTCTAGAAGCTGGAGAGGGGAGGCTGTGAGTACAACGGGATGATGAGGCGTCACCTGTGATCATGTCATCGTGAGACATTCAGTATTTGAACAGAGTTGGAGCGTCTTGAGAGGCGTGTTGGGGTCAAAAACCTACCCCCCACCCCCACACATTCACACAAACGTCTACTCTGGGCAGAACGTTCTGAGCAAGAGCCCACGATCCTCCGCGGCGCCTGCTGTGCAGCTCTGGCTCCATGTCAGCGTGCGTGTAGATTCCACTTGCAGCTAATTGGCTGCTAAGCACAACTTACCCTGCTAAGGAGAGAAAGAGGCTGATTTCATACATACCCACAGAAGCTGGAAATGAGGGAAGAGTCTCAGCTCTGAAGTCCAGCACCTCCTTCCTTTTTTCCTTCCTTCACGAAAACACACAGTTTTTCGAATACTTCCCGAACAGGAAACTGGCCTGAGTCATGCTCACCATCCCCCCTCTCTACAGTGGACTAGGAAGATGGGCTGGGCCTCTGCAATCCCGGGTTCAGGAGTGCGCACAAGTGAGCTGGGAGATCCACAGTTCACGGGGTCGGTCCATGTTGGTCAAGACTCGGACAATCCAAGAATGACAACAGCTCCATTTTTTTTTTTCATCTGTCATATTTTGCATGCAAAGTCTCCTTTGAATTTGCCTGTGTTCCATTTAGCTTTGACCTTTTAATTCCTCTTGGATTTCCTCTTAGAAATCCAGGCCAGTCACCATGACACAAAACCTTCAAAAAGAAGACATTATTTTTTAAAGCAATTTTAGTTTTGCTGAAAAATGGAACAAATTGAATAGTAGAGAGTCCCTATGCTCGCCCTCGTCTTTCTCCACTACGAACATGCTGCAAGAGGGAGCACACTTGTTACCCCTGATGAGCCTACACTGATACAGCATCATTAGCTGAAGTTCATAGTTTGCACTGAGGTTCACTCAGTGTGGTACATTCTATAGACTTTGAAAAATGTATAATACCTTTCACTCTACTGTATCATACAGAATAGTTTCATGTCTTAAATGTCTCCTGTGCCTCGTCAAATTATTCCTGCCTCCTTTCCCTGGCAACCACTGAGATTTTACTATTTCGATAGTTCTGTCTTTTCCAGAACGTCCTATAGTTAGAAAGATACCGTATGCAGCCATGTTAGATTAACATCTTTCATTTCACAGAGTTTGTACAATATTCCTTCTTGTTCTTTCATAACTTGATGGCTCCTTTATTTTTCATCACTGGATAATATTCCAGTGCATGGATTACCATAGTTTGCTTGCACATTTACCTGCTGAAGGGCACGCTGGCTGATTCCAGGATATTTGTGCTGGCAATGCATTTCAGTAAATTACTGATGAGCATGACTGGCCTGCCGTTTGCTGACTCTTCTTTATTAAACAGTTGCAATATTCTGATGGTGCATGAGATGAGCATCCTAGCCTCTCACCCAGAAAAATCAAGGGAGAGGATGGTGCCGAGGCATCCTAAGTATGCTTTCTTACAGAGTTCACCTCCACATGCCTTTCTAGCATTCCAAATCTTTGTGGATTGCAAATGCATAAAAATTGCATCAATAATAGCCAACATTTTCTTTATATTTACCACATTGGCTTCATGCGTGGTCAATTATTAACTTTCCAAAAGTTGAAGTTAGAGTTTGGCAAACCTAGAGTTTGGCACAGACAAGTAGGAACTTCAATGCATTTTGCTTTTATCATAAGGTTTTTCTTTTTTGGAACATTTTTTGAGGGTATAACATGAGTCACAGAGTCGATGTGGTTATTGAACTCTTTACAGTAGATTCTCCTCTACATTGTCGGGTGTGGTTGCGAATACTGTAGGAGAAAGTTGGGAAGAGAAACTGTCAGTTTTAATAACCCCCGGTACAGTGACCTGATGCATTCCTTTGTTTTTTATCTTCTCTGTACACATTCTCATTTTTAAAAAATTTATAAATCTTTATAGCTTTTTCAATTTTATGCTTTTAAATTCTCATGAGAAAGACATATCATACCTTCTAATAGTAATCTTATATTTAAGATTTAATGATACTTCTCAAAGATCAAAATCTTTCATGATATAAATCCGAGAGCAATTCTTCCGAGAATCCATTGCACTCATGAGCAACACACTCATTTCAAATGAACAAAGTAAACAGAGAAATATAAGGGTTATGTATGAAGGATAAATATGAACAAAACCCAGACACTATAAAAGACAATTTTAAAATCTGTAAAATGACAATTCTTTTCTCATTTTTATCTTCAGTAATGATTTATGATTGATTGAATGATCCTGAAACATACTGCTGCACCATCCATCTTTAGGAGACTGCTGGAGAAGTACAAGCACTCTTTCCCCAAGCATCTCAAGACGTAGTATAAGTGATTTGAAAATTCAGGCATGTCTTAAAAATCTCTACTGCAGATACAGAAACAATGATTTACCTTCTTGCATTATCAGGATTATTGCAAGTACCTGACTCTCAAAATTTTGTTTTCTGTGTTCTCTTTTAGATATAACTTGGCTAAAAGGAAACTCTGCAAAGTGTGATTTTGGCATCCCAGGTGGAGCAGTGTAATGGGTGAAAGCATAGTCTATGGGGCCCTCACACCTGGTTAGAGAGACCGTGTCACTTATTACCTGTGAGACTCTAATGGTACTTACCTCTATTTTGTCATCTACAAAATGTTGACAGTTCCCATCACATGGGGGTAATCCCATGAAGATTAAAGGTGTAAATATATGTAAAACCCTTGAAAACTTACCTGGCAGAATGTAAGAACTAGAGAAGAATTCCTACTTATCACTGGACCCCACGGTTTCAAAACAGCCAACACTAAAACAGGGAAACTTATTTTATATTTATTCCACGAAATGTGGAATTCATTCACCTCACGTTGGTATAGCCAGAACGGATTCAGAGTACATGACTTATAGAACCAAATGGATAATAACCTCCCACACACATTAGCGCAAAGTCTTGTAGCTGAGTTGACATCCCTGAGAGATAAACTTTAATTTTATTTTACCATTTTTCTTTTGGCTGAGAGAACAGAATGACTTTGTGATGTTGAGATGAGACGAGACTGGGGGGAGCCATGGGAAAGAGACAGATATAAAGGAAATTAAGATGTTTGAACTCTTGATTTCCAGTGAGGCCCAGAGCCCAATGCCGTAGCTCATGTAGAGTAAGAAGGTGCCATTTGGATGGGCCTTTTGAAAAAGCACAGTTGAAAGAACATTATCATAAAACAATTGCATTTTTGCCGTGGAGCACCTTTTGAAATTTACTCAATGGGTATCGTATTTCCCCTGCTGATGAATGGAATGCGATGTGCACATCATGAATTTCCCTGTCGCTCTGAAGCCAAAACAAGCAAAACACTAACAGTTACAATAGCAGGAATTTCAAGTTTGATTTGAAGTGGATTCTCCTCTCCTCATCCAAGACAGGCGGGTGGGAGGGAATGAGAACTTAGTGCCAGGGAAGGCTACACAGTTGGTGTCTTCTGTCCCCTGGCCCAGCGTTGCTGTTCTTGGTGACCAAGTTATCCCTGGTTCATTCCTGGGCTGGCGCATACACAGTAGGGGGGCAACTGGGCACTAAGTTTGCGCCTGACCACAATCACCTAACAATACATGCATGTACCACATCATTCTCTCATACACCTTGGAAATTTGAAATAAAAATATTTTAAAGAGAAATCCTTTTCAAAAATATTCTTTACATGTCCTCATTCCTTTGTAACACAGGAACAATTCAGGACACTTAGAAAGCTGTGAGTCATCACCCCGTCACACCTGCAGCATCCCGTTGGCCACAGAGGGCGACGCCAGGAGCGTGGGAGTGGAGGGCCGGGGCCCGACTTTCAGGCAGGTGTCAGAACCGTGTTCTCTCTGCTCGACAGTGATTCCAGATCCTTCCAGAGCCAAAATAGACTCACCCTCTTGCCAAATCCTGAAAACTCTCATGCCATTAAGATTCTAGACCTCAGCGGGTAGCTCCTCAAAGAAGCTCCTCTCCATCTGCAGACCTGTGAATTAAGAAAACAAGGTCTTAGTCTCCCCCAGCACAGACACAGGGCGCAAACTGATTAGACAGGCCCAGGTCACACTCTAGAAAATCCCCTTTCAAAGGAGAATGAGTGGCGGGAGGCAACAGCATTCAGCGTCTCTGACATCCTGGGTAAATGGTGGAATTTCCTCCTCTGCATAGATTCTCCATGATCTTGGCTCTGCCCTCACAGTTTCAGAACTCTTGATTTCTCTGAGTCTGTCTTCCTGTTCTAGTACCTTAGTTTGCACCCAAGTCATAGTCTCAGCCTCCTGTCTCTTTGTAGAAGTTTGGATTTCCAGTCTTCTTTACAGTTTTTACCTGTGCCTGTCAGGTGAAGCTGGCACAGTTCCTGCTATGACGATTCTCTTAACATTGTCTTTATTTCTAATTGAATTGTCTTTTTCTTATTGGCTTGAGGAAGTTTTTTATATAGTTTAAGTCTGTTGGCTTTACAGTACAAGTATCTTCTATGTGATTTGCCCTTTTGCATCTTTTGGTGTATATAGATGGATATTTAAATTATTGTGATTAAATAGATCAAGCTTCATGGTTAGTAATGTCTTCATTGAAGATGATTTCTTTCACTGTGCTCCTGTTTCTCTTCAGACTGAATAAATCTTTCACCTTGCATGCATCATCTCCTGGTAGCAGCTGCGGGTCCTAATTTGCACAGAACTTCTGCTCATTCAATGATCACATGAGTTAAAATGCAGTTACACACGAAGAAGAGATTCTCCCTTCCCTGTAAGCTTATTTATCTATTGAATTTTAAATCAAAATACTATTAATGCACATATTGAATCTCAAAATGATAAAAACCCAGATGCACTTACAATTCTCACATATGTTAAGGAATAAACTAGCAAAAAACATATTTGCAGGGATGTAATGCATTGAGCTTTTAAAAGGAAAGTTTTCCAAAGCCATAAAATAATCTGACTTATTTCTAAAAGAATTATTTACTAAATTGCAGAAACTATAGGATAGAGCTAATCTTCCTTGTGGGTGGACAGATTATGAAAGAAAGAAAAGAGTAAGTGCTACTCGGATGATTCTTATTCATGTTTCAGCCCTGTACGCCAAGTTGGGAATTTATTTTTTATTATGTTGTTATATCTTCTATTCAAAACTCACTCAGTGAATCTTTCAGTTATTAATTGCACATGGGATTTGTTTTTGTGCTACGATAGCTCTTCTGGAAATGAAGTTATAACACAGGCTATGTGAAAATTTACAAGGTGCTAATGAGCTTTCTTCAAACACCACAAATTATTTAAGTAACTTAATGCTGTTGTTATTTTACAGTGTCAGAGGAGTTTTCACACTAATGTGAGACAGCCACATAATTTATTTCTCTGTTTTCAAACTTTCAAGTATAAATTGAAAACATAAGCGCAATGTCAAAGAGAATGACATTAATTTATTTCTTTCAAATGGTTATATGTTAAAAAGTATTTTTATTGCAGGGAAATACAATACATAATGGTAGGATTGATTTTGATCTTGAACAATCTAAAAACTTTTATGATAACTTTGAGATTAGACAGGCGTAAAGGGGTGTTCGCGCATCTCAATAGAATATTCAATTTCTATTGATTTTAGTTTTGTTCACCATATTAAAATTTGATCCATAGATATATTTATACCAAAACCTCTCTGTAATAACTGTTCTCATTCCATCACTCTTGAAGGTCAATTTGATTCTTGTCTGGTATGAAGATGTAAACCTTGGAGGACCGTAGGTTTTCTATTTTCTTACGGAACCCTGGGACTCGAGAGATAAGTCTAATCTGCAGTCACACGCAGGGCAAAGGGCCATAAAGAGAGACAGGCAATTCCCGAGGGTAAGCGGAGGTGAGGGCGGCTCCAGCACTTGCTCCCGGCTCTTGCAATGCTGGGGGATTTGCTTGCCTGTTCCATGCCCAGGGGCTCGGAGAAAGGGGAGGAGAGAGGATGACAAGAATGCTAATACCGCACTGAGTGAAGAAAGTGCCCAGTAAAACACTTAAAACCCAGAGACACCGAGAAGCACACGGAGGAGAGAACTGAAATTGGCTCAACGCTGATGTTTTTAACGACTGAATTTCTGCAGTGGTGTCTAGTCACACCTGCCTGGCAGCTTGCTTAGTACTTTGGGGACGCGCCTGGGATTGCAGACTCTAACCCAGGCCCGGGTCAGCGCTCCCTGGGCACAGGGGTTTGAGTGTTTTTTTTCAGTCTCTACACCTCAATTTCCTCATCTCTGAGATGGGAATACCAAGAATGCCTGTTCATAAGGTGGTTCCTAGGGGGTTGTTTGTTGTTTTTTATTGGAATAACATTGGTTCACAACAGGGTATGTGGTTCAGAGGCACAGATTCACATGGGCTCAAATGCACGCCACCCCCACAGTACCCCCACATCCTCAGTTGTTTCTAAGCTGAAATGAGTCAATAAAAATTACCTGACAGAAGTCAATTTCACAGAATTTAAACAATTACTTGATTGCTTTTACTAAATAATATGATTCATGGTCTAAACTAGATGCACGATACTATGAATAATATAAAATCATAGTGATCTTTTATTCAGTTTATGTGCTGAGAAAATTTTAGGACTCTACATAAGTTCAATCATGAGTAACCGCTCTCGATGAAGACAACTCAGGGTGCTTGGGAGACCAAGCAGCCCCAGCAAAGTCTCCCAAGAAGAAAAAAAAGCCAATTGTTTAAGAGATTTGATCCTTAAAAATTGTGGCTGTTAATGAAGGGCCTATTTTTAGCAAAAATAGCACTAGGTTCTACCTTAACCGGTCTGGTAAAGTCTTTGGATCTGCAGTTCCTTGATTTGTAAGTAATGCGAGTCCAGATCAGGTTGGACACTTAGCACACTAATTGGCTTCTCATTTCAAAACCACATTGGCAGCCATATGTGCCTTGTACATTTCTGTTAGGGGTTTGGACACGTACCACGGGCTAGCACTTTGCCTTGACATTGCTGCTCTGCAAACAGATGGCGAATTCCTTGCTGATTTTCAATTAACTGTATTTTTTTTTTCAGAAGCCCTGAAAGTACTAAGCATCCAGAAATTTGAAACACATGCACATGTAATATTATGGAAGCAGGAAAATAAATTTCTGATCGTATAGATTAGAGTTTAAGTAGGTACTTCCTGGACCAATGACTTCTGCCTCTGAGGTATTCACACTCAATTTCTCATTGCTTTTTCCACTTAGGCTGGATTGCAGAGGAGGCAGCTCTCACCTGTGCTGCAGCTTTTCAGTGACTAACCTAACACTGGTTACTGAGCTGCAAATTGAAGGCCGACAGTTTCCTTGAAATAGCGTTATCTCAACTTTCAGAAGAATATTTATGTTTCCTTCAAATAGCACATCTTAAAAACAAAAGACATGCTTCGTTAACTTTGGAGGATGGAGTTTGGAAGTTATACTTTATTTGGTTTTAATCACAAATCATATCTTCGTGTATAAAGTACATGAATTCTAATCCAGTAGCTATATACCGGAAATGAAAGCTATATACAGGAAATGAAAGAGTGCTGCTCAATACCTTATGCTAAGCAAATCTTTACATCTCCTCCCAGCGCTATTGTTTTTCTTTCATTGTCTTTACTGATAAAGCTTGACCAGAAAATATTCACACACAAGGGAGTTTCCAGGTCATCTAGTCTAGTGTCTTTCTTTAAAAAAGCAAGATCCGGAAAATTGACCAAAGTTTGCATTGTTTCCGCAAGGACAATAAATTATAGTAACAACGATACATATACAATATTATTCAATCACAACATGTAGGAAGTCTTGCCATCAGTAACAACAGGGAAGAAACTGAGGGTGTTACACTAAGTGGAATAAGTCAGACAAAAAGACAAAAGCTCCGGGATTTCGCTTATATGTTTAATTAAAAAAAAAAAAAAAGCTAGACCATAGCTACCAGGAATAGATTGGTAGTTGCCAGGGGAAGGGGGTGAGGAAAGAGCAAATTGGGTGAAAAAAGTCAAAAATACAAACTTGTAGCTAAATTAATATGTATATGTGCACGTTTCAGGACTGTATTAATTGTGCTGGAGTGCATACTTCAAAGTTACTGAGAGGAAATTTCAAGAATTCTCATCACATGAAAAAAAAAAACTTTACCTTTGTATGAAGATTCATGCTGATCATGTTGCCACATATGCAAATATTCAATCATTATGTTTTATTCCTGAAACTATAGAATGTTATATATCAGTTCTCTCTCCATAAACATAAAAAAAAAATTAATGTTTTTGTTTTAAATAATAACATTCTGTTCTGGGCCTCTATCAGAGACAACTGGGTCAACACAAATTATCAGCAGATAGATCAGAAGATAAAAAATCAAACATGAACAGGGCTGAATGTGGAAGTACTTACGTTCACACACAGTCACTCATCACACACAGTCACTCAACACAGTCACTCAACACTTACATTTGAAAGGACTGTATCGATTGCATTCGAAAGATTGATTGTAAGTAGGCTGTAGAAAAAGTTTTGGAGTAAGAAATGTAAGGATATAATACTAATATTTATTTAAGTTCTACGAATATTGTGGCTTCTCAATTGAAAAACGTTCCATCATGAAGATTTCCGCTCTGACCAAGGTGGAAAGGAAAACACCCCACATTGGCAGCTTCAGTGCCCTGGGCACCAACTTCAGATTCTTTTCCAATCCTCCTTATGGCAATCCTGCTCTTCCCCCAGGACATGAATCCTCACCATAAATCCATGGGGCGTTGTCAAAAATTTTAGAAGAAGTTTAAATCTATTTTGAAAAAGTTCAGATATATAAAATGCATAAGGAATATCTAATACTCTATCTTATTATTAACAACTGTGAAAACTTAGCAATTTAATCCTCCCTCTAAGCCTGCACTGATTCTATGCCTCCTCCGCACACAGAGGTGCTTACGATTCTGAATCTGGCTCCATAATCCCCTTGTCTTTATTTATATTTTACTTTGTATAGCGGCATCCTGAACCTTTGAGAATGAGTAAGAACTAGCCATACACATCAACATATTTGAGAGTTAGATACATCATTTAGAAGCTAGTTAGTAAACCCCCCCCCCAAAAAAAACAAACAACAACAAAAAAAACTAGTACATACTGGTGTAGAATGACATCATATAAAGTTTTGCTTAATTTACTACTGTTTATAAACAAACATTTTGTATTTCCCATCTCTTTCCTAGTTTCTGCTACATGTGACTTGCTAAACAAAATACTGTATTTTGTGTAATGAAAACTCTATTCCCTCCTTCCACTCAACTATCAGCCTTGTGACTTGAGCGCCCACCCAAATACTCTCCCTGCTTGGGACGGACACTGCTTCTTCCCTGACTCCTGATCTGTGAGGCAATGCACCCACAGCTTCATTTACCAGGATGCTCACGCACAATGGCATTACTTCTGAGGGTTTGTGGTTGGTGTGTGTGTGTGTGTGTGTGTGTGTGTGTGTGTAGAGACTCACACCAGCTGTTCATCTCCATTCTTGCTGTGGCCATTTTTATCACTCTGTGGCAGGAGTAAGTATATGTCTTTTAAATCTTCATCATCTGATTTTTCTGTCATGCAACAGAATATATAGAATGTTATCTGCTCACCAAGATCATGGGCTCTCAGAATCTGTTTTCACGGAGACGCACATCCTTCGATATTTATGAAATAAATGTATTTTCCCTGCTAAATGGACTTCTTAACACATTGGCCCAAAGATCTTCACAAGGTATGAGATCAGTTGAATGTAACCTTATTCATCTGGATCGTGGCCAAGTCTCTCCTTCTGTTTTAGTCACAAAGTGCAAACTGTGCGTTCTTGGCTATGGAAGCACGTCCAGCTGCGCAAGGGAACAGCTACATGAGTGAAGTATTCCAAGCAAGGAGGGAAACAGTAGCTCAAAGAAGCAGCAATAATACCTCTGTGCAGTCTTTCTTAAAGTCTCCAGAAGATTTTCATTAGGATTAAATGATAAAAAAAAACAGTTCTCTCCAACCACTGTGGAAACGCCCTTCTCCCGTCCGGGCAGAGTGCATGGCCCCACGTGGACAGCGCCTGAGCTCCCTGGCAGTCAGGGAGGTGCAGCAGATGAGACACAGGCGTGTCGTCTAACTCTCCCTGTTGTAACTTGATGTCAGTTTAATGGAGGTGAGTCACTGCCTCTCTGCTTCGAGTTTTGAAATTATAAATATGACGTCACCCTTGGGGAAATATTAAACATCAAATATCGTGCTAACAGTGTTAAAGCATGAAAATCATCAGTCAGAAAGTTCAAGTGGAACTGGTCACGGTAGACACATTCTTCACATTTTTCATGACTGTCCATGCATATGTTTAAGAAAGAAGTGGACAGATTACATAGTTTATTCCTTTATTTATTTTGAAAAATGATATATTTTAATAAATGTTAGTGATAAAATGATTGAATTTTATCAATAATCAGTTATTTCACTGGAATAGGGAAATTATAATTCAATCTTCATCATGTCCACATTAAAAATGCTTCAGACTCATCATTTGTCCTGAAGTTACACACACACACACACAAATTTCCCCTATTTAATTCTAATTTCTAGAAATAAAATGTATTTTTATTTTATTTTAAAATTTAATTGCCAAGAAAACAATTAATATACCTAATGATGCATTTGTAGTCACTGAACATAATTTAGAAAGGAAGACAAGGAATGAAGGAGAGAGTGTAGACAAGATCACAAATCAAAACAGGGCCTTCCTGGTGGTGCAAGGGGTTAACACGTAACCTATGAAGCTGTCCACAGCCACTGCAGCACGGGTTTGATCCCCAGCCAGGGAGCTACCCACATGGCACAGCAGACCTCTCCTGCCTCGCCCGCTACTCCCCTCAGCAGTGTATTTCAGTTCATCTGCCTGTTCTGCTCCCCGCTCTGTCTCTGGTGAATCCTCTCACCCCCTGCACCTCTGGCCTGTACCCTAGTTCTTGTATGCATAAATAAATAAAATCTTTCAAAAAAAAGAGAAAAAAACCAAAAACAAATAAATTAGAGAGAAAGAACAAAGACAAAGCACTGTTATTTGGAAAAAATAACTCTATGGCTGAAATGAGCAAGAAAAAGAGAGGAACATACACTCATAAAATAAACATCAGCCATAATATAACATGGAAATGTCTATGGACATGAGGAAATGACTATTAAACAACATGTTGAAGATTTTAATGATATACCAAAATTTCCAGAAAAATGTCACTTGTATATGAATCAGAGAGAACCTGTAAACTTCTAAAATTCTAAATAAATAAAAAATAAATTTGAAATATTCATTATGAAGCTCCCAAACAAAGCACAAGGCCCAGGAGATTTTCAAGGGCAAGGTCTCTAAGGTGGGACATGCCATTCCCAGGACACCCTCCACCTTTTCAGATGATGTTTAAGAGGAAAAGAAGGCTCCACGCCCTCAGGGAACCAGATGGCCTTCACACCAGGTGAGACGGATCCTTTGTCAGACACAGACATTACAGTCTGCTTAGGGTTCGGAGAAGTCCAGATGTCCTTAATAAGCCATTAATGCTGAATTCCAGCAGTATCTGTACTAGGTAATTCAACATGAAAAGCTGTTTCTGTCCTAGGTGAACAATGAAATCTAAAATACTATTCAATACAGCCACACTCGAAAGGTTCAGAATAAGAATCATTCAAGTTGACATATCTTTGTAGTTAAAGAAACCTGGAAAACTAGGAGACAAAGAGAAAGTGCAACGTGACGAAGATTACCCACAAAGCTCCTGTTGTGTAATCAGTCTTGGGAAATAGAGAAAGTCTTGGAAAAACTCTTTTAACTTAAGAAATAACAGATGCCCCAAATCACAGGTTACCTTTGTCATTGTACCAATAGTCCTAATTAACATAATCCAAAAAGCAACTTCAATTAATGGCGTAAAGATTGGAAAGGACAACAAAGGAAAATAATTTTCCCCAGATAACATGATAGGCTGCTGCAGAAAACTCTAAAACATTTGTAGGTAGATTACTGGACAAAATAAGAGAATCTGACAAGGTTTCCAGCTGTAAGATTTGAAAAAGGAACATCAATTAATTTCAACACACATGAATTTTCACCTGTTTCCCAACAGCCAGTGTCTTGCACAAGGCACATACAATTTTACGTGGCTCTTGAAGATAACTTATTTCATTGTTCTAACTCTTGCTTTTATGTGCCACTGGCCTAGTGAATTATTTTAGATTTTATTAATTGCATCTCTCAAAGACAGAACTTTTTCTTTGTTTGTTTTTAGTAACTCCAGGATTTCATGTGTCTTTTAAAACAATAATCAGGTTACATCAATCTTCGTTCAGCATGGAGTACGGAAGACTTCATGAAACATATTTTTTTTAAATGAAGCTTATTAATGTATTGTCTTTTATTTTTAGCCCACATCCTTCTATGATATCATCTGATTTAACAAAGATTAGCTCATTTATTTATAGCGGGGACAGGTTAGCTTTGAGAATATGTGAATTTCATACAAATCCTGGGGAAATAATAATTTAAGCACTTCTGAGAGGAAATTAGTGTGTTAGATAAGCACACTGTGAAATGTTTGCCACGCTTTCTAGATCATCCGCTGTATGGGAAGGCCAGCGGAGCAAAAGGCATCTCAGCATTAACAACAACTGCAACCAGGACTCCATTAGCAGAGAGTATAGCCCATCACACAGTAGTTTTGGGGATGGGACACTGCTGTCTTCTTGAGGAAAGGATACAGTCCTACCTTCAGGACCTAGGGAACCCAGATAGAACCAGCACCCTTGGGATGATGGCTATCGTACAAATGAGGAGGGTCTTGGGCGGCTCACCAGTCAGCAGCACACAGTAGGAGTGTTGCCAAGATTTGAAATCAAAAATAAAGTGAAAGGCACAATACTGAGACTTACTGGGTTATGCATACTGGGATGAAGAGAAATCAAAGTTAGTTATCAGAATACATTCATAATGGATAGCTGGGGTTAGAGAAAAGTTTAAGAGTTATTGGCATTGTTTTGCTCATTCAAGGTCAGATGATCAAAAAATGAACTCAGATTGGTTGTAAAAAAATTGAGGATGAGGCTAAATTTTTTTTGTCATAGTGAAACAGTATACGATGCCTTGTTGCTCAGGTTCTTGAAAGAAAGGGGATGGAGGGGAAATGAGCTTCGAGTAGTGTCCACATT